CCGGCCGGGGGCGGTCTCTGCACCCTGCGGGTCCGGGCCCCAAACAAACAGGAGACTTGATGTCTCCGAATGTGCTTCTGATTACTTTTCTAGGAAGACCCCCCGCGGTGGTGCGTCTGAGTGTCCTCTTCCTCGCAGAGCCAGAGACGGGGGCGGGAGAGGAGGCCCCTGGGGAGGTGCTTGTCTCATGCAGCCAGGTTCTCCCCTAACTCCCCAGATGGCCCCCGAGCACACCAGGAGTGAGCACTGAGCACAGAGCCCGGAGTCAGCCCTGAGCACCGCCAAGTGGGGCCCCCCCATTAAAAGTATAAACTAAAAGCAGCATAGAGGCGTCAGGAGAGGGACGTCCTCCGGCTTTGACAGGTGGGGTGGACCTGGGCGTCCTCGCCACTGGCCAGTTAGACAAGTGCCCGGCACTGCGCTCATCTGTGGTCTCACGGCGCCACCTGGTGGCCACCCGGACAGCTGCCATGAGGCCGCGCCGGCTGAGTTTGAGGGAATTAAATCCTGGGGTGCAGGGTGCAGTGGGCGGGTGAGTCTGGCCCGAGAGTGGCCAGCAGGGTGGCGGCTGCAGGATTCTGTCCTCTCCGGTGCGCTGGGCCAGCTCTGCCCGTTCTGGGCTTTCTGGGCAGGACGGGGGTCCTGGCGGGCGCCCCCGGGTGGGCCCCGGCTGCAGGATTCTGAGACCCCCGTTGGGAACCAGGAGCAGGAACAGACCCGCCCCTCCCACCACCACCCCTCTTCACTTTCCTCAAAGAAAAGCTATCGGGGGCTCTGGGGGGCTCAGGGCTGGGAGCTCCCAGCTTGCAAGTGGGAGGTCAGGAGGTTGATCCCGGCGGACCCCGAGGGGCCCAGCACCTGGCAGGATCGCGGTCAGCCTGTGCCAAGGGCAGCGGGCGTCCACAGACCCCCGTGGGTGATGGCAGGCTCGCGGCAAGGGCAGGCTCTGCCCACAGCTGGGCCTCAGTGGGGATCGTGCTGGACACTGGCCCCCCCAAACCAAGCCGCTCCCAGAGCTCATGCCCAGGAAACCCTGCCCACGGGGTCTGACTTGGCGCCGCTGGTGACTGCAGGGTCAGTGGGGGCCCAGCACGGCCCCTCCTCGCTGGACTCCCCAAAGAGCCAGAAACCCGCCCTCGACGGTGGCCTTCAGGTGGTCAGTGGGGACACTGCCCCCAGGCCACCAACGCCACGTGGGCAGCTCGGGGCTGGCACTCAGCCACAGGAGGGGTATGGCAGGCACACGTGGGCTAAGCGTCACGGGCGCTGTGGGCCAGGGGCACAGCCCAGCCTCTGGGTGCAGATTCGGGGAGAATTCTGGGGGCCCCAGGAGGCCTGCAGGCCACTCCCTGCACGCGCACAAGCACTCACATGTGCATACACAGGCATGCACACACACAGGTATCTGCGCATGACCACATGTCTATGCACACATGAGTGCTTGTAAACACATACACGTGTGCGCGCTCATGCACACAGACACACAGCCCTCACACACACATGTGCACTCATACACGTGCAGAAACTCATGACACTCACGCAGGCACCCACACGCATGCACACACACATGTTCACACGTTCACTCACAAATGCACTCACGTGTGCGCGCACACATGCTCACACTCACATACTTACACACAGGCACTCCTGCACCGCACTCAGACACACTCACAGAGGCACAACGACAGCTGTGCACACACTCATACATGCTCACACACACACACACTCATGCACACACGCTCATGTACACAGAGGCTGTGGTACTGATCTCTGCAGCAAGAGCAGACGCAGGCGGGCGCCCACGGCACTCACCCAGGGCCATGGGCTGGCAGCGGGCATGGCCCCACCCCTCACGGGTCGAGTTGTGCGCTGAGCCAGGGGCCCAAGGGCCTTCCAGAATGAGGGGAAGTTTCTAACATCCCCCCAAAAGAGCCTGAGGAGACAGAATGGGCAGCCAGCCCCCGCGAGCACCCCGGAGCTGCCAGTGGCGCCAGCCCCTCCCCGCACTCAAACCCCTGTCCCGGGCCGTCTGAGGCCTTGGCCACCGGAACCTTCCTCTCCCTGAGAGCTCGTTGCTCGCCGCAGAGCCCGAGTTTTCAGCCGAGAACTTTCTTGGAAGTTGCTGAGAAAACCCTCTGCTTAATACCAAAATCAGCAAGTTTCGGGGAAATGATTAATCTCCTGCTTTGGGAATTATTAATTCTGGAAGGAGACTCTGATGGGAAGGAGGTTTGCTGAAAATTTATGAGGCTCTCTGGAACGGGGGTCTATCGATTTCCCGCGAGTAAACATTTTAAGCAAATTAAGCGGTGGGAGCAATGATAATAATGGAGGCGACGATTTCCAAGAGCCGCCCCGTGCCAGGTGCCGGACCTTCGCGTGTGACACGGCAGGTGACGGATGGGGACCGGCCTGCAGTCCGCGCACGGGAAGGTTCTGTCCACCCCCCCCCCGCCCGGGCTCGGGTCACACGCCCTTCCCACGAGCGCCCACGGCCCCCGCACGTCCAGGACGGAGCCGGGCTGACAGCCCGTGATGGATGGGCCGGAGGCCCGCGAGGGTGACCCCTGGCCCGAGGCTGTGTCCGGGCGGGGGCTGGGACCCCCCCAGACCCCGAAACAAGACAATGTTATCAGCCTGCGGGGCGCCTGCGGAAACCGCCCGGACGCTCTCCCAGGGAGGTTATCGGGACGGGGCCAGGGGTGACGTCCTGCTCCCGGCCGGGCTCAGGAGAACGGGGCCACTTGAGGGGGCAACAATCCGCTCACCCCTCGTTCCTGAGTCTCCCGGCGTGGGGGCAGGAGCACGGGAGAGGTCAGCTGGGAGCTGGCCTGGCCTCTGGGAAGCGGGGCCCACTCTGGGGGTGGCCGAGGTATTGGGGACCCTCTGGAGAGAAGAGGCAGAGCTACCAAGGGCCCCCCATCTTACACACATGCACAAACACATACACACACATGCACACACACACCAGCCACACGCCATACAGACACAAACACACACCACACACACGCACACACACCACACACCATACAGACACGAACACACACATACCACACACATGCGCACACACACGCAAACAGACATACCACACACATGCACACACAAGCACACGCGCACACACATGCAAACACATAAACACACACCACACACACACGCACACGCACACATGCACACACAGGACCATTCTCTGTCCAGAGCAGGTGTGTGACAGATGTGAGGGCCCTGCCCGGTCCTGACCCCTGCAGTCTCCCACCCGAGGCTGCACTCGCCCAAGGCAGCACCAAATCTACGGACACTTGTGGCCTCGCAGAGTGACCGAGCTGAAGGTGCCCCGTGTCCTTTGGTGGCCAAGCCTTGCCCTGCCCTCGCCCAGCACCAGATGGAGAGGACCGACCACCAGAAGCGCTTCTCGCCCATGGGCTGGGCCTCACTCATCCTCGGGACCCCTCAAGGATGAGGACCACCCCCCCCCCCATCCAGAAGTTTCCTGCTGACCTTCCGATCTGGGCCTTCACAGCCTCTACACCCACTCTCAGTGAAACCCCACGACAAACCATCTCCTCCGGGCGGGGCTTTATCCATGAGGGGATTCAGGACTCTGGGGGGGGGGGGGGTCATCACTTCTGTCTAAAATGTGGAGCCCCAGGGTCATCGCTTGATTTCCAATGACCCCCACTACCGACGCCACAGAGCGTGGCCCTGAGAGTCAGGGGAGGGTCTCTCTGAGCTGAGCGGGCTCACCTGGAGGTGGGTGCTCGCCTCGGGCTTTTGGGGATAAGAGTCCGTCATCGGCCAACGAGGCCAGCCGCCTGGCTCCCGGCCCGAGCTGGAGTGGTTCCCTCGTTAAGTTAAAAGGAGCCCCCACCCCCACGCTCATTAGCTAAGTGAATTGACCCACCGGGTCGGGTTCCTTGGATCTGCCAGGACTGGGCGAAGGTGGCCAAGAACACAAGCCCCGAATACTATTTGTCAAGCGGACGGTGGAGAGCCGGGGCGGCCTGGGCGCTGAGCACACGGCCCGCGTCAACGCGGCTGACTTGCCCTGACAGCAGGAAACGCAGCCAATTCATCTCAAAGCGGGGCTGGTCACGGGCCGAGAGCCGGGGGGAGGGCACGAAGGTTCCCGTGTCAGCCCTGCCTGGAAGGGGCCGGAAACGGTGTCCGGATGGAGGGCTTCAGGGACGCACGCACGCTGGGGGCCGGGGGTGGGAAAGTGGGCGATACGGATCAGCCAGCGAGACCCCTGACCTTTCCCAGCCCCGGAATGTTCCACAGGGACTCGGGTGGTCTCCACGGACCACTCTGGCGGTGACGCAAGTGAAGGGTCTGACCGCGGCGGGCACCCGCAGGTGTGCCCCCAACCTCGCTCCTTCCGCACCGGGGCTGCTAGGCACTGTGTCCAAAAACCAGGGGTCCCGTTCTGGCAAGCTCTAGAAAGTTCTGGAAAGCTCTTGCAGCTTCAGGAGGGAGCTCTGCTGGGCTAGGTCGCCGCAGCGTCTACTCCAGGAAGGGAAATGCGTGAGGACTCTCCCTCCTCCGGCCGTTAGGGACGGTCTGTGGGCCGAGGCCCCCGGCTGCCAGCCTAGAAGCTCCCCATCGCCTCGGGTTGGGGGGGACCAGGACACGCTCCGTCCTGCCTTGGCTCCCCCCGGCCGAGGAAGAAACTCTTCAAAGGTGCTTCCCAGCATGCGCCCAGCCCAGGGGACACACAGACGCCCGGTCCACCCTCCCACCACCACCAGCCCGTGTGGACGGCACCCACCGGTGCTCATTCTGGGCGCCACCATAGTCCGTCTCCGTGGGGAACGGAGCCACAACCGTCTCCCCCCGGCAGGCCCGTTGGGGAAGGAAATGGCTGCGTGTCCTGCGGTCCGGGCCGCGCCCCTCACGCCCTCCACGGGGTCAGCTGCGCCCGGGACAGACCACTCACTCCCGTGCGATGCAGACCAACACGTTCCCGGCCCACGGCCCACGCCGGCGCGGGCCCCGCTGCAGGGGCGCTAAGTCCTGTTCTTGGGGGTGGCCTTGGGCTGGGCCTTCTGGCCGTCCGGGCTCTTGCTGTCCAGGGCCCTGCACTTGGTCATCCAGTAGGAGAGGAACAGCCGCCGCTGGACGCTGCTCTGCGTGAGCTTGTGGGCGAGGGACATGGGCGTCTCCCCGTATCTGTCCTTCTGGCTGATGGAGGCGCCGTGCTTGAGCAGGGCCAGGATGCACTTCGGCCGGTCCATGGCGGCCGCCACGTGCAAGGCCGTCCTGCCCAGCGGCGTGCTGCCCAAGCAGTTGGCTCCTGCCGGGACACGGGGGCGGGGGCCGGGCGGCGGCTCAGCGGGGAGGGCATGTCCTGGCACACGGCGACCCCGGGTCCATCCCCGGCACCACGGGAGATCCCCCGAGCACCACCAGGAGCGATTCCTGAGCCCGGAGCCAGGAGCAAGCCCTGAGCATCGCCAGGCGAGGGCCCTGCGTGTGCCAACTTGGGGCTGTGCTCCGTGCTCCCTTCTTGAACTCGTCCCCAAAGAGAGGCCGAGAAAAGACTGGGAGGGGGTGGGCGCGATGTGTGTGTGTGTGTGTGCGCGCGCGCGTGTGTGTGTGTGTGTGTGTGTATGGGGGGGTTGCTGCTTGGCCTGTCACTTAGCACGACTGCCCCTCTCCTGCCCCCTTGCTCCCACATCCTACCCCAGGCCCTTTGCACGAGTGGCTGCTTTTGTAAACAAACGAATTGCTTTCCTTTCTGGGCCACCTCGGAACCCCGAGGAACCCCCTCCCCCTTCCCGACCTCTGTCCGTCCCCAGCACATCCCACGCGTGAATGACCGTGGAATGAGTGATTTATCCTGACGCCCTGACTTGACTCCCCAGGAGGGCAACACACGTTCTTGGCGGGGTCAGGGCAGTGTCTGTCCCCAACTCCTGTTGCACCCAAGGGGCCGGAGGACACGGCTGCGGATGGACGGGCTAATGCCAGGCGGCCCCCACGGACCTGCTGAGCTAAATCAACTTCCGGGACACGATCCCCAGGACACAGCAAACGAGGCCCTGGCCCCCACGCAGGACCCGAGATGTCAGCCACCGTGGGGGGTTCCAGGGGCCTGGGCCCGCCCGCTGCTTTCAAATGCATCAGCGTGAAGAAGCCTGGGCTTCCAGGAGCCGAGCTGTGATGGCCCCAGCTCCGGGCGGAGGGGAGTCTGGGACCCGGGGTGGTGGGCGGGAGGAGTTGCTGGACCCAGGCCCCTCAGCTGCTGTCTTGCCGCAGAAGCGCCCGGGGGCCTGGAGGGACCCCCCCGCCCCCCCGCGCTCCTCCTGCCCACCCCCACCTCCTCGGAGCGCTACCGTGTTCCAGAAGGTACTTCACGGCCGAGAGGTGTCCGCGGTGGGACGTGATGTAGAGAGCCACAAAGGCGCGCTGCTCCACCCAGCGCCTCCAGGCCTCGGGCCCCAGCTGCTGCATCTGGGCCGTCTGCGCCGAGGAGTCCTCCGACGACACCCCGAGGCACGAGAGCTGCGGGGACAGGTGGGTGGGGCTGGGGGGGCACACGGCAGCCCGGGGGGCGGGGGGCGGGCTGCAGGACCTTGGTGGGTTTGTCTCTGGCGAGACCCTGTCTAGGAAACGTGGGCTGCTCCGGGCTGGCTGGCGCGACAGGAAACGCTTCCTGCCCGTGTCTGGGAGAGGATACACACATATACACACACACACACATGCACACACGTACATACATGCACACACGTGCACCTATGCACACACGCGCCACGCATACATGGATGCACACACAAGCGCGCGCACACACACACACACGCGCACACACACACACGCACACACACACACACACGAGCAGTCCCTGTGCACCTGACTGCCCTGTGGCAGGTCACTGGCCGGCGCAGATGGAAGCTCTGGGCTGGGCTGGGTGCAGGGTCAGACGCGGGGGTCCCCAGCCCCGTCCTCAAATGTCTCCTCGGATTCCCACTCGAGACTGGCGGGGCTGGAGCAACAGGATAGCGGGAGGCGCTGGCTGGCCCTGCACACGGCCGACCCTGGTTGGATCTCCAGAACCACCTACGGTCCCCAGCACCGCCAGGAGCCGTGCCTGAGTGCAGAGCCGTGAGCAAATCCTGAACGCCACGGGGCGTGGCCCCCAACGCAAAACCAAAACCAAAACGGATGACGTAGCCGCCCTCCCACCTGCTCCCCGCCCCGTCCTTCCTCAGCTGCTCCACAGAGTAGAAGATCCGCTCAGGGCGCAAGGGTGGGTCACCTTGCTGGGGTCGCCTTCCACGGCCGCCAGGACCAGCTCTGTCCAGTTGTCGTACTGCCAGATGCACAGCGAGATGACCCCGCCGGGGTCCACGTCGTGGTACTTCAGCGTGGATTCATCCATGAGGATGCCTATGGGCAAGGGCTCCTCTGAGGAAGAGTGGGGACACCCCTGGGGGTGTCAGACGCCCCACCTGCACCCCCACCCAGGGCCGGGGGTTCACGTGTCGGGAAAGGCTGGCTTGGCCCTGCTCACAGAAGCTGAATGCCACAAAATCCTGCCAGTGCCAGAGAGGTTGTCCAGGCCGAGCCCTGAGCATCGGGCCAGGAGTCAGGCCCGAGCACTGCCCAGGGGGGCCGAACCAAATAACCAAATAACCACGTTCTGTCATCATGTCTCCCTGCCGTGGCTCGACGAGCCTGTGAGCTCGGACGAGGGGCAAAGCCCTGAGAGGGAAAAGCCGTGGGGCTGCTGGGGACCAGCCGGGAGGCCACGCAGGTGCGCCAGGGCCCACCGCAGCTGGCTCCAGAGCGAGGGTGGTGGGAAGGCGGGCACTGGGCCTTTCCCAGGTGTTGGCAGCCGGTGCTCAGGGGGGACTGGGCACGCCTGGGAGGGGGGCCGCCTGGACGCCCGTCAGCGCCGAGTAGCCGCCACGAAGCCACGCTGGACACCGCCTTCCGCGAGCGCTCGGGAGGGCCTGGCCCTTCTTTGATTCCCGCCACCCCCTACCAGGGGTGTGTCCTGTCTGGGACCCCACACATGGACAGACACAGGGACAAGTGGACAGATGGCCCGAAGAAACCAGGCCCGGAGAAGCAATCCGGCCCATTCTGGTCCACTTGGCACTTGGGTTCCGGTGCTGCCCACTGGGGTCAGGCACGGGAGAATCGGCCATGAGTTGGAATCAGACACGTGGCCCCCAGAGCTTGGGGGGGGGATGAGGGGGGGCTCCCCGAAAACACCAGGGCGCCTCTCATGCATGTCAACCACCTCCGGGAGACCCCCCTGCTCTGCACTCACAAGGCTTAGCCCAAACCCCCCCCCCCCAGCCAGGAGCTGCCACCCGCTGCCCAGGGGATGCTGGCACGGATCCCCTTAGGTTGGTCCCTTCCCAGTCTGCACCCGCATGAGCTCATCACTTCTCCCTGGCAGGCCCCGACGGGGGAAGCGGCCGTGAGTTCATTTATGGGCACAAACCCAAACTCCCTTCCACACCGCGGTACCCTCCCCCAGCTCCTGTGCGGTCAGCGGTAAAGAGGGCAGTGGCCAGAGGGCAGCTTCTGAGCCTGGCCACTAAGTGCTGGCTGGGCCTCGGGGCCAGGGCTACGTGTGACTCACTCCCCTGCCTGCCTCCCCCTTCAGCGCCCCGGAATTTATGGCCAAGCCCAGCTCTTCAGCGAAAATGAATGAGCAGAGGGGATGCCCAGGACGGGGGCGCAGGCGGGGTCATCTTGGCGACGTGTTGGGGAGGTCTTCCACGCCCGCGCTCTGCGTTAGGGAGAGAGGAGGAGAAGCCGTTTCCTCCCAGACAGGCCCGACAAGGCCCGACAAGGCCTCTCAAGCATCCTTGGGTGCTTCTGCCAACACCCAGGCCTCGATCATGCAGGCCCCGTCTTGGGGGTACCAGGCCAGGGGCGGGGGCGTGGTGGTGCCACAGAGGACACCCAGCTTAAGGGACAGTGAGCACGGGAAGACAAACCGGGCTGCCGTCTGCAGCGAGGCCCTGCTTTCGGGGTGCTTCTGTGTTGAACCCACGTATAGGATGCGGGTCCCCCTCCTCACGGAGCCCGGGACAAGGGCAGCCGCCCCAGGGGCTGAGGTGAGGCTCTTGGTCCTGATTCTCACCTGAGTGCGGCCTCCTGGGGGCTAGTCTGGATTGGGGGGTCAGTCTGGGGCAGCTTAGTTCTAGGTTTGGGGATCCAGAGGTGGGCAGTTGGTTTTGGGGAGACGGCGGGGCTTTGACGCCCACAAGGCCCGCATGGGGTAGGCTTCGAGTCTGGCTTTGGATTTGGGGGTCTGCCCTCGGTGATGGGGGCCCCGCTGAGGGAAGCCCAGCTCGAGGCATGGAGAACTGTGTCAGTCCTGGTCTGGCGGCCTAGGGGAGACTGGGGGGAGCTGGGGTTCCTGGGTGCTGGGTGCCGCGGCCCTGGCCTGAGAGGGTCTGTCTGGCTCAGGGCTTTTGCTTTCAGACCAGCGCACGGGACAGGCCGGGTGCTGGGGCCAGGGTCTGCCTCAGGATTCGAGGTGCTGAAAGCCCGTCTGCCCCTCGCGGGGAGGCCCTGACTGGCCTGTTCTCTGCCCCCAAGGGGGTGGGGCCGGGGGTGCGTGGGGGCGGGCAGGGCACCTTGGTCCAGGTACTGGAGGCGCTGGAGGTTGAAGGGGATGCCAGCCACGAGGTCCAGCTGCTCCTTGAGCTCCCGGACCGTCATGTCACTGCGGCAGCTGGGGATGCGGAAGAGCTCCCCGCTCTCCTCCAGGAGCACCTTCAGGCTGAACACGTCGGGGATGCTGTCCAGCATGAGGCTGGAGGTGTGTCTGGTCAGGGCCAGGCGCGTCTGCTGGCCTTGACTGGACACTGGGGACAGTGCCAGGAGCGGCCGCAGGCGGACGGAGGCTGCGCTCAGACCTGGCACACCCAGCGCTCTGGTGGCCGCATGCTGCAGGCCCGAGATGCTGGAGCTCCACAGCCCGGGGAGCCTGGAGCCCAGGATCCTGGCGCCGGGGACCCTGGAGCCCGGGACGCTGGAGCCCAGGACACTGGGATCCGGGATACTGGAAGTTGGGACGCTGGAGGCCGGGACGCTGGAGGCCGGGACGCTGGAGCGCCGCCACCCAGGGGTGCGGGAGCCCGCGGCGCTGGGACCCAGGATGCCCAAGCCCGGCCATCTGGGGATGCTGGAGCCCTGAAGGCCCTGCGAGGACCCCGAGGAGTTGGAGGCCGGGGCTCTCCTCTGTCGCCCCACGTCTCGCGGTCGGTCCACGCGCAACTCCACCGACCACCGCATGGGCTGTCCGTGCCCACCGCGTGCGACTGGCCACTCGGAGAGGCTGCGTCATCGCCGCCCCGACACGGCACAAAGGCCGCGGGGACCCAGGGCGGGAGCCGGGGCGCCCGGACCCGGCGGGGCTGGGGGTCGGGGCAGGGGTTGATCGACCCCCGGGCAGAGGGACCGCCCTCCGCGTGCAGAGCGCGCGGCCTGTCCACGCGGGCGAGGGCGAGGGCTGGGCTGGTCCCGCGGCCGTGCCTGACGCGCCCAGGGCGCAAGCGCGCGGCGGCGCCAGGAGGAGGAGGAGGAGGAGGAGGAGGAGGACGGCGCTGACCCGCTGTGTTCTGGACGCTTCCACGGGACAAGGCCGCTTCTGCTGTCCCGCACGTCCACCCCGCGGGCGCCGCGGCCCGGGCCGGGTCCCCCGGCGCCCGCACCCCGTTTGCGCAGCCACGAGGGGCGCGCAGGGGCTCGGGGGCGCGCGCGCCGGTGAGAGGGTCAGGGCGGGCGCCAGCCGCGTGGGAAGGGAAGAAAACGAGCTGATTACCCCCCCCCCCCCGCCCCCAATTAATTGATGTTTTTAAATGAAAGAACATGCGGGCTTCAAACATTCCTGCTGAGAAACTGTCATTTAAAAACCTCCTTGCCTTGGAAAGGGTTCATAATAAATCACAGAAGAACCACCCAGAAACTGAAAACAGCACACGGGAGTCTCGGACCCCCACAAACACGCCTGATGCAGCGGATTCTGGAAGACCCCTGCCCCCACCACCAGCCATACGTGCATCTCCCAGACTGCACGAGAACAGATCCGCCACCGCCAGGTGAGGGTTCTCACCACTGGGACCATCTCAATTTCTAGGCAGCAGCAACAACAACAAGAAGCCCGGCAAGCTACCGAGAGTATCTCGCCCGCACGGCAGAGCCTGGCAAGCTCCCCGTGACGTATTCGAGATGCCAAGCACAGTAACAACAAAGTCTCCAATGGAGACGTTACTGGGCCCGCTCGAGCAAATCGATGAATAATACTAATAAATAAAAGTTAAAAATGCTTGTCACGGAAGCCAAACAGGGTCTCCACCCATTCTCTTCAGGCAAGCACTGAGACGTGATGGTTGTTTCTCTTTCTTTTGAAAAACGCTGCCAGCGCGTTCTCTCACTCTGCTGTGGTTCCCAGACGCCACCCTGGGGTCCCCCGGGAACTCTCCCCTGGATCATCTTTTCTTTGGCACCTGGCCAAGCCCCTGGCTTTCTTTTTAAAGAATCAGCCCAGTGCACTCTGGGGGCAGGGGGACATCCGGCTGACCAGGAAATCCTAAAGGGTCCCAGGAATTTTATCTAAAGTAAATAAAAACAAAGAGGTGGAAAGAGGCAAGGAAACAAGTCCCAGGGCAGAATGGGAAACTGGGCCCCAAACTGGGCCCCTCGTCCTTAACCACCCCGGGCTCCCATCCCCTGCACCCCCCTCCCGCCTTTGGGAACGCAAGCGCACACAAGGAAACTGGTGGGCAGTTTGGAGAATCTCACTGAAATGTTTACAGAGTCTCAGCTCATCGGCGAGAAGCCTGCGGGATGGCCACGGCCTCTTCCTAATTCTGAATTGCAAAAGCACAAAATGGAGGTTCTGTCTACTTAGATCTGTTCACGACACCTCCTGGTTTTCAATCTCCAGATCTCCGGGTGGTCGGAATCTCTGTTTTGGTTGAGATTCAAAAGAATCAGTCAACATATCTTTTTTTTTTTTTTATGTAGGAGTACTGCTGTTTATTCAGCCACTGATTAGCTGATTGAATTGTGCATGAACTCCACCTTACTTTTTTTCCCCCATTTTTTATAATTTTATTTATTAAATCACCGTGAGAGCAGTTACAAAGCTTTTGGGTCTAAGTCTCGGTCATACAATGAAACACCCGTACCATCAACAGTGCCCATTCTCCACCACCAAAATCCTCAGTCTACCCTCCATCCCACACCCTCCCCCTGCCTGTGGGGCAGATGATTTCCACATTACTCTCTCTCTACTTCGATCACATTCAATATTTTGACGACAGACCCACCATTATTATTTGGGATTTTACCCCAACACGCAGATCTGCTGAAAAGGCAACAGTAGACAATTTGTTTTCTATTGCTGGTTATGAAGAACATATGATGTCGCGTGGCTGCAGTCAACATATCGTGATGGCCAATTCCCCTCCCCTCTTCACGCGAGGCATTTGTGGGAGAATGAAGAGTCTTTGTCCTCAGCCCCTCTGAGGTCAGGGAGCAGCTTCACGGGCGGTTCCTGCAAAAGTGGGGATGTGCGTGGAAGAAAGGCTTCGAGCAGTTTCCACTGAAAGTTCAACAGTAGCAAGACCATCACGAAGCACGCTTTGGTAGATTTTTTTATTTTTTAATCGTCACATTTTCAAAGTAAACAAGCCTGGCTACATTCGCAGCATCTCAAAACAGAGCAGAAATTCAAATGATGCAATTGTTCTGTTCACTGATAGGCGGCTGATATGACATTCATACATTTTTCTTCCTGTCAAGGGTTAGTTATTTACTTATGGTACAGTATCTGGGTTAAAAAATAACACAGAATACCATGAACTACATTTCATAGGAAAGTACATGGAAAGTCAACCCTGCAAGTCCCAAGAAAGACGTGAAGCTTCTAGAAAATGATCTTTGGCGGGGCAGAAGAAGTGACGGAACTTCTGCTGGAGAACACCTCGGCCCGCACGGCTGGCCAGCATAGGCCTTGGTCGCACAGGCCAGGCCCCCTGACCTCGCCCACCCAGGTGCTGGCCTGTGAGGGCAGACAGGAAAGCGGCCTCCGGAGTCCCTGGCGAGAACGTTTCCGCACTGTCTCCCTCCGAGGTGACGAGCGCTTCCCTCTGAGGTGGACGGTGGGCGTCGAGGAAGAGGAGGCTCAGGCCGTGGCTGATCACACAGCACTTAGCTCCGTTTTCCCAGCTTAGCCGCGTCTAGGAGATTTCGCTTTGCTTCCAGGACGGCAGAAACGGAGACATCTTGGTCCGGGTCTGACTGGAAGGTGGAGACACTCAAGATGAGGGTTACCTGCATTTCTAAAATAAACCGGAGAGAAAAAGTGTTTGAACCCCACGTGCCATGAATGGTGTTCGAAAATACAACCTTAGTTTGGGGCGGATTTAAGCCACATCTGGAAACAGTCAGCCCTGTGTCGCGTGAGTCGCGCAAGCAGGCCCTCCACACGACAACACGGTCGGCATCAAAGGGTTTTCAGAGATGGACGCCCTAGATGGATGCCCCTAAGACGAGCCTGCGGTTTAGAATCGGACCCGAGACACTCGGCATTACCCTTTCCTCCCTGGGACATAAAAAGAGTGGCGATGTGTGGGACGCAGGAGGGGGTGCGAGTGGCAAGACACGCGAGGGCGACAGCGTGGGGAGAAGGGGAACGCCAGGCACGCCGTCCCCCCGCCCTGCGCAGCTGCGAACAACCTGTGTGGAATTTGTTTTCCTGCTGGTCACTGAGTAGGGCGTTTGCCTTGCACGCAGCCGACACGGCCGGCCCGGGTTCGATTCTTCCGCCCCCCTCGGAGAGCCCAGCAAGCTCCCGAGAGTATCTCGCCCGCACGGCAGGGCCTGGCAAGCTCCCCGTGACGTATTCGAGATGCCAGACACAGTAACAACAAAGTCTCCAATGGAGACGTTACTGGGCCCGCTCGAGCAAATCGACGAACAACGGGAGGGCCGTGACCGTGACCATGACTAGTCACTAAACAAGCCCCTGAAGGTCGAACCACGGGGCTTGAACGCGCTGCCTTCCGTGGGGCCACCCTCCCCTCTCTCGCTCCCCGCCCCCTCTATGGCACCGTGGATGAAATGTTGATTTATTTGGGGCCTGGGGCCCTGGGTGCTGGCTCTCCATGAAGCGCCCACGAGAAGCTCACCCTCCCCACCCCCAGGGTCTCTCTCTAGGGCCCGACTCAAAACTAACAAAAATGTCACACCCCCCCCCCCACACACACAGGCCCCAGGAACGTTTTGCCCTTCAGCCTGCTTCTCTGATGTGGAAACGAAAACACTCAACTCGGTTCTTCTCTAAAACACCAGAGACCGTGCTGGGGTCTGAGGACGCGGGAGTGACTCCCACCGCCCGTGTCACCACGCAGAGCCCCGGGCTCCACGCACCCCCTCCCGCGTGTGAGGGTGAGAGTGTGAGGGAGATGTGCGTGTGTGGAGGTGGGCGTGAGGGGGCGTGTGGATGGGTGTGTGAGTGGGGGTGCGCGGGGGTGAGGGGGTGAGGGTCTGTGCACGTGTGAAGGTGCGTGTGAGGGGGCGTGTGTCGTGTGAAGGTGTGTGAGGGTGAGCGTGTGCATGTGTGAGAGGGTGTGTGTGCGTGTGTGCAGGTGTGTGTGAGGGTGGGTGAGGGTGAGTGTGTGGATGTCAGAGGGTGTGTGAGGTGTGTGAAATCTGTGTGAGGGTGAGTGTGAGGGTCGCATATCAAGGTGTGTGTGTGAGGGTGTGTGTGTGTGTGTGTGAAGATGTGGGTGTGAGATGTGTGTGTGAGGGTGTGTGAGAGTGTGTGTGTGGTGTGAAGGTGTATGTTGGATGCAAGGGAGTGTGTAGGGGTGTGTGTGTGTGAGGCTGTGTGTGTGGTGTGAGGGCGTGTGAAGGTGTGAGAGGTTGCGTGTGAGGACGTGTGTGAACCTTAGGAACCCCCACTGGATCCGGGTCCAACCCAGCGCCCCTACTTCTCATTCCTCAGCCAGCCCCGGGCTCACACTCCCGTGCAGAGACAAGGGCTTCTGGCCGGATGGAGGCAGGGACCTATCGGCCGCGCACCGGCTTCTGGCCCGGGGAAGAGGCTTCCTCGCTGTCTCCGCACCAGGATGGTGGAGACGTGAGGAGACTCTGGGCTGTCGCTCCCGGCCTTGAGCTGAGGCGCGTCCAGGGTCCCAGCCCAGGTGCGGCTCTGCCAACAACACACGGACACGCCCGACTTGGCCTCAGAGTCTCCGTTCGACTCGAGTCAGCTGCAGCCCAGC